GAGAGAGAGAGAGAGAGAGAGAGAGAGAGAGAGAGAGAGAGAGAGAGAGAGAGAGAGAAAATGGAAAAAGAAAATCCAGGTTCCTTGAGATGTCTCATCCTTGGTGGTGGCCCCGGAACTCCACCCATGAGGTGGCCAGGTCTGCTTATTATCTCAGGCTCTCATCTGCCAACTATGAATCAGCAAATGCTCCAGGAGAAAAAGTGGCAATCAGGGCCAAGCTCAACTCTATGCACTCTTCTTCTGAGATCTTGGCCTTCTAATATTTGCTGCCATGATGTCTTGAAGCAGATATATTATTTTATTTCATTTCTTTGAGACTAGTTTTAACTATGCTGTCCAGATTGGTCTCAAACTCCTAGGCTCAAGTGATTCTCCTGCCTCAGCCTCTCAAGTGCTGGGACTACAGGCACACTGCTGCTATACCCAGGCAGTTATTTTTAATATTTTACTTAGTTTTCCTAGCTTTTCCCAACAGAATGGGTAGTAACAAGCTAATCTGTTGAATCTAGAAGCAGAAATTAGTGAGAAAAAAATTTTTTTTTTCTTTTGGTATCAGGGATTGAACTCTGGACCTTGTGCTTGCAAGGTAGGCAGCAGCACCACTGAGCTAAACTCCTGGACCCTGTGAGAAATTTTAAACGAAGGTGGACTAGAGAGTCTCTGTGGTTTGGATGAAGGCTAATTTGAAGTCATGTGTGGGATTAAGTTGGAAAATCTTGGTTTGAGTCTAGATATTGGGATGAGATGTTGGGAAAGCCTCACTCCTGAAGGGCTTGGAGGTAAAGTCCAGGGTGTAGACTGCTGTACACACTGCTGTACACAAGAGAGTTATGATGTTTGCTTTTTAGCCTTGTCCTTGGCTCTTTTTGAGCCTTGAGCTTTCACCATTTACATCATTTTAATGCGATCGTCTACCATGTTAAGATTCATGGTCTTCTTAAATGCCCTCTGGAATGTGGAAGTATATTAACTGACTTATTCATTAAAATGGATGTTTACTCCCTGAACCTGTTTTCTCACCAATAAAATTGTAATAATGATCCCTTACATGGTTTACAAGATTAAGGTTCAGATACTATGAGAGACCCAGTGAAAGTATTTTGTAAAGCAGTGTAGCGGTGTAACTACTTTATGTGAACCTGGGGGCCACAATGGATCTCGTCTCTGTCCTCCCTGTCCTGTCCATTGATGTGTTTTGCCAATTACTTTTTTAATCTGCCCAGGTCCTTCTTAAACAACTCCCTGGCCAGGCCACCTCATCTTTCCCAGCACCATCATGGTAATCTCTGCCTGGTTCATCAACTCCTTCCCTCTTTGCTTCCTCTAAATCATTTTTCCTATTTCAGCCAGTGTGGTATATTTAAAATGCAGATCTGATTGTGTTACTCAATTCCTTCAAATATCATTCAATGGCCTCTCCCTGCTCTGAGAATGAGAAATCCATAACACTGGAAGATTTAACCCTCGCCTTAGCTTTCCTTTAGCTGCTCCCTGCCTTTAAAATTAGTTCATCCTGTACTCCCCACACCACTCCACCCCAACCCTCACCTCAATGCCTCCCACTGAGCTTGCCAGCTTCCGGATGAAACGTTTATTCAGCTCACACTTGACAGGGGTTCCAGGTCACAGTCGGCTGGCTCCAAGGTAGGGCTGGATCACAGAGGAGAAACAGTTCATGGTAAAGCAGGGCAGGCAGAAGGATGATGGAAGCTGGCATCGAACAACAAGCGAAAGTGACGACAGGAGGTGACCACAGCCCTTTCTGTCTCTTACCTTTTATCCACACTTAGGGCGGATAACAATCACAGCCTTGACCCTGGCATCACATCTTTGATGCCAGCATCACACACTAGATCCAGCCATCTCCAAAAAGCCCCAGCTATGACCACATGAGTCTTTGGGGAACATCGAGCCGTTAACAGTCGGGAAGCCTACCCAGACTTTCATTCTTAGGTCTGGCAGGTGAACTACTAATGCAAGAACTTAGTACTGTGTCTCCCCCTGCCAGAATATAAGCCCCAGGGTGGCAGAGACACAGCTGCCTAATCTACTACTGTATCATCCGCGCCTATTCTGGTTTTTGATGCACAACAGTGTTTGGTAGACATTTGTTTCACAAATGAAAGGGTGACTCCTTCTTGAATACACATCAGCTGAGAGGGCTGCTGTCAGAGCTGTGAATTGAAAGGCATGGGTGCCCTCAGAACTGGGACTGACCCTTCTCATCAGCCCTCCGTCCACCCTCTTCACGCCTCCCACTGAGCCAAATTATGACATTGTCCATCTCATCGTGGGCTCCCCCAAAAGTGTCCCAAGGGAAATCGTGCCAAAGACGGGATGCTTATGAAACTCTCATGGGAACTGTACTAGAAAAGAGGAGATTCTCTTTGCTAGTAGGAGAAGTAGGAGAAACCCCCAAAAGGGAGCCGGGCATGGTGGCACACACCTGTAATCCCAGCACTCAGAGGAGGCTGAGGCAGGAGGATCCCTGTGAGTTTGAGACCAGCCTGGGCTAAATATGAGTTCCAGTTCCAGGTCAGTCTCAACTACATAGTGAGACCCTGTCTCAAAACAAAACAAAACAAAGGGAATTGGCCCACATCTCCCCAGTGGCCTCTCAAGTACAGTACTTTCAATGGAAAGTAGTTCTACTAACCAGACTTTTCTTTCCCTTGCAACATTTGGTCGTTTAAAAAATCTCATCACCAAAGTACGTGCTCTTGGTAGAAAGATAATAGAAGATGGAAAAGCCTTATCCTAGGCACTGAATTCCCCTATCTAGAAGAAGAAACTTTTCAAAAATATTCTACATAAATATAAGCAAAATCACATACATTCTCCCTACATGCAGCCTTCACACACAGGGCATTCACATTTCTCTGTGCCTTGCTTATTCCACTCAACAATGCAGCCTGCAGATGGCCCTGTGTCAGTTTCTACAGAAATATTTCATTGTTTTCACACCTCTCTGTCCTCTACGAAAAGTACATCCCATTATTTATCTATCTAATACCTTACTTATGGATGTTTAGGCAGTTTCCAACATTTCGCTATGATAAGTATGGAGGCACTGAATTACCTGGATGAATCAAAAGTACAGGCTTTTGGGGGAGGGAGAGCATAAAGGAAGGTAATGATAGATGGATATGATCAAAATATATTCTATACTTTGAACCCTCCCAAAATGTCAAACTGGGGGGAAAGATGGGGAAAGGGGTACGCTGGGGAGTTTGGAAATGAGCTGTGTTACATGGATATATAAATCTGCCAAAATAAAACACACTAATTCGTATAAGCAACATGCACTAATAATGAAAGATGTGGGGAGAAGTATATACTTTTAAAGTTTTGAGCATTATTACCCATTTTCCCTCTGTTACCGAGTAAGTTGTAACACATTTTATTCTCAGAGGTAAGAGGCCATTGAATGATACTTTAAACACTCGACTAACATATTTACTCTGTAGCTCCAAATGTAACTGCGTGTGGAGACAGGGCCTACAAGAAGGTAAAAAGGGTAAGTAGGGTTGTAACAGTTAATTTGACAAACGGGTGTCATTATAAGAAGAGGAGAACATTGGGCATGGTGACACATGCCTGTAATCCCAACTTTCTTGGAGGCTGAGGCAGAAAGATTGCATGATCAAGCCAAGCCTGGGCAACTTAATGTCTTAGCAAGATCCTGCCTCCACAATTTAAAAATTGGTCGAGGATGTACTTCATTCAGTGTCAAGGCCTCAGGTATTCCTAGTACCAGAAAAGAAGGAGGACGGGGAGGAAAGCACCAGGTATCACTCTCTGAGTGTGTGCAGAGAAACAGCAAAGTGAGGATACAACGAACCATTAGCCCTCTGCAAGCCAGAAAGAGAGCCTTCGCCAGACACTATGGCTACTGCGACCTTGATCTCAGCTTCCAAGACTGCAGCACCGGGAAGACTCCTCCGGTGCTTGAGCTGCCCAGTCAAGACCAACCTGTACCGCTATTCTCCCCCCCCGGCTTCAAACCTCCCCTTTAGTGCCATGGTGTGCATAGAGAATAGACAAAGGGGGAAAGTGTAACTGCACAGACTCATATAGAAGTGTTATAAGATGGAATCTGTGGGCGCTGTTGTGAACAGAAGCAACTATTTCGCACAGAGTCAGGACTACTTAGTAAACAACAGAAGGAGTAAATACAGCACTGGACATGCAAAGCTGAAATTATTCATGGGAAGCAACATCCTACTAAAAATGTCCATATAAGTCACAAACGCTCCTCACTTCTCTAGTCCCCAACCTGTAGTAGCATACCCCCACCAAAATGAAGGGAAAAATGAGGGGGCCATAAACTTTAAAAAAATATATTATATACACACAAGTAAACACAGCTACACACAGGAGAATGGGAAAGTAAGGAAACAGAAGATAACTAAACCCCTCAACTCTCCCAAGGCAGACCAAGGGGTCACAAAGGGAGAAGAAAATAAATACCAGGTAGAAGAAACCTATGAAAAGTTCACGGAAGGAGTGAAGAAAATAGATGACTTCAAAGAGAAAATGAGCCAAAAGTTCACAACAATTTCACTCAATATGCCCCCAGTGAATTTCCAGGAAATAGGTAAAAAACTG